AATGGGTTCCTTACACATTTTGGATAGTAACCCCTTATCAGATAGATTTGCAAATATTTTTCCCATTCCATAGGTTGTCCTTTCATTCTGTTGACCTTTAATTCCCTAAGGGAGACAAGCTATAGTTTAAAGGTTTACAAAAGGAGAACTTTGCATATGAATTTAGAGAGAAGGCAGAGGATGGACAGGATAGGGCTTCATGAAGGACTTCACACTGGTTAGTCGTGATAAGCCTTAGAAGATGGGCACAGCAGACTAAGAGGTAGGGGGTTAAGGTGGAAGGGATGGTCATTAGCAAGGCTGAGAGGTGGAAAGGCCCTCCGTGGAATAGAGTGTATTTGGAGGACAGTATGGCTGCAATGAACAGATGGGGAGAACAAAGATAAGGACGGATAACAATGACACAGCATGAAGGCACACTCCGGGAATCTGGCAGACATGCAGCGAGGACCTCACACAGTTAACTGCACAAAGGTTTGCAAAGGGACAACTGGAATACGAAAAAGTTAGATTGTTACTAGATTATTCTAAGCAAGAAGAAAGGAGCTGTCAGATTCAGAAAATGAAAATATGGGAAAAGATGAAACCAAGAAGTTTCTCTGACTCACCAAAAGGTGAGTGAGTCTGCAATCAAGGGAGTCTGCAATCAAGGGAGTGTAAAGATGAATTGCCCTCTCTTCCCACAAAGAGCTAGGCAGAGTATGACTGGCTATCACAAGTGAGTATAAGGAGGGAAACAGCTAATGTTATTGAAGGTCTACTGTATATCAGATACCGTGCTTAGCACATTACATACCTTATCTCATTTCAATCTATATTCAGCCATCTGAGATGTGCTTTATGATCACCAATTTACAGATGATAAAACATAGGTTCATGTTGACTCATCTGTGCTCATAAAATAGATAGCAAAAAGGATCAATAATCCAATGAATGTTAATTAGACTAGCACCTGCTATTTGCCAGGCACTCTGGGAAACAATGGTGAACAGAGAAATGTAGTCCCTGATACTGGATTCAAGCTCAGATCTGACTCCTAAGCTCTTCCATTTCTTCCTTCCCCACTGCTTTATACCATTTGCACTTTCTAAGAACAAAGTATAAAAATCTAACTTATGTCAAAGTCCTTAATTAATTGAACAGATTATGCTAGAAAGAAAAATCCATCAATAATTTATTTTTATATTTACATTGCTAAGAATTTAAACATACATGGAATTCTATGAAATACACATGGAATTCCATTAGAACACATCTCTTCATTCACCTAATGAATATAAGTGAGCATTTACTAAGCCTGAGCCAACACTGTAAGTGTTGGGAGAGATACAGGAACTTCTGAGACAGGGAAACTATTTCCAGGGGTTGTGTTTCAGTGTAGCAGAATATAAGACACAAGGAAGACAAACACAATTCTAGTTTAGGGTGTGCCATCACTGAGAAACAATTCTTTGTGGGTCTCCTGCACTTCTGCAGTTATTGGGAGGGAGGCACTAGCTGCCCTTTATTCTGAAATCTCTTTTCAAGGATGTTTCCATAGCAAACTGCCTTGGATGACAAAGTGGTGTCTCCCTTTGGAGAAAAGGACAGTTTTGCTTATAATCCTGGAAGATACTGTGTCTTTTTGCAAAGGGTAGGCATGCTTACTGTCTAATATAATGATGTCTCCCTTCAGTGCAAATAAAGATTTGACTTCCCTGAGCTCAATGATCCTTTCCTACAATGCAATTCCGTTGGAGGGCAGTAACGCAACCTGGCCCTCTTCATCACCCTGTGGGAACTGGGCCCCAGGAAAGAGGTTAAAATAAGTGCAGACTCCCTCTTCATCACCCTGTGGGAACTGGGCCCCAGGGAAGAGGTTAAAATAAGTGCAGACTCAGATGCTACTGTTGCTGTGAGTCATTGGTAGTTGTCCTTTGTTTCTGACTTACAAGTCTTACTGATTTCTACCAGCATGTATGAAATTAACTGTGGTAGGCTAACTTGCTGGCTTGCCAGTAGGGTAAAATCTCAGGGTCTTGACTGTTCTTGACAATGTTAGTTTGCAAATTCTTCCCCTTCTTGCAACCATGCCCTTTGGCACACTCTCTTTCACTGATCCTGGGATTGCCCATGTGACTTGCTTGACCAATAGGACATTAAAAAACATAACACGAACAGGAGATTGCAAAGCACCTGCTCACTGAAGTTTCTTGCTGTCTGGCTGTTTAGAATTTAGTTGTCATGTGAAAAAGCTTAAGCTAGCCTGTTTGTGGGAAAAACACACCCAGTGACTCCTCCCGTCCCAGCTAAGAGCCCATCAATCACCAGACAGGTGAACAAGGCCAACTTAGATCATCCAGGCTCCAGCCAACTCTCCAGTTACCCACTGATGTGGAATGAATCCAGCATAGATAAGCGGAGCTGGCGGATCAGAGGAACTATCCAACATCTAAGTTTTAGAGTGGTTTGTTATGAAACAAAAACCAACAAAAGATACAGAGTACAAAGTAAAAACTACTCCAGCATAATATGCCTATTACAAGTTCACAGAGCTCAGTCTACATCTGGTTAAATACTGTAACTCCAGCACATAGCACAGTACCTAGAAAAGAGTTCAGTGCCAACCGTTTCAGCTTTGTTTCAGTTTCTCGATATGAACAATCAACATACAAGTCCCTTAATTCCATCTCACAAGTACCGAAGATGGAAGGAACTGTGTATGAATCCAGCAGGGCACGTGGTTAAGCGAAAAAAACACAACCTGGTAACCAAGGAAACAGGTGCTCCGGTGTGTCAGAAGCAGCTCTTCCTACTTAGTCTCTGGCTGTCCCTAACATTTTGCACTTCAGTTTCCTTACCTGCAGAATGGGAATAATAAAGCTTTCTTCACAGGTTGATGACAATTTTACAAAGGAAGCACTCTCTGCATATAACCTGCCAGACCTCCAGAGGCGTTGTGGTGGAAGACATGAAAAATTAGCAACACGGTTAAATGCCAAGTGAAATGCTCTCCTGCACTGACGTGGATGTACGCACTCACACGTCCTCTCTCACAGACACGCATGCACAAAATCAAACCGTTTCCCAAAACCAAATTAAAAATTGAACCAGCAGAGACCTAAGAGGAGAGAAGGTAAAAGCACCAAGCTATATTATGGTCTAGGAGAAGATAAAATGCATACATAATGTGCACATGTTACACCTAACAAATAAAAGTATGTTTGCAAAGCTCTCTAAATAATTTAACTTTTCTGGTAGATTAATGCCTGACAATGTGAGAGTGTATAAAATGTATCACTATGTTTATGGAACTTAAAGGTCACTTTTCAGATATCCTGCTTCATTTCTGCAGTTTAGGATTAAATTCCAACTTTTTGTTTCAGGTACACATGTCAAGTAATTACCTCTTCATCCTCTATATTACTAATTTTCATCATATTTTAAAACACTTTCTTTAAAAAATCTTTCTTTTATGATTTGGCATCTTTGAAAATTCTCTTTAACTGCTTGCTGGCAATTGAATGCACTTGATATTTCTCTTAAACATCGAAAACAGTAAGAGGCACAAACTTCCAGTTATAAAACAAATAAGTCACAGGGATGAAAAATACAGCATGAGGAATACTGTAAATAATGTCATAATAACTTTGTATAGTAATAGATGGTGAGTATTTTATAATACATATATAAATTATATATTACATTAATATACTATACTTACCACAGTGAGCATTTTGTAATGTATGTAATTGTCAAAACCGTAATATTGTACACCTGAAGCTAATATAATATGTCAACTCTACATCGATTAAAAAATAAACTAAATTTTAATTACTTAATTTTGAAAACATCAAAACCAAGATTACTGGCAATACACACATCAAGCGAATTGTCCATGGGCCTAAGTTGGTTTCTGTATCATTTTGAGAGTTTGATAAGGGAAACTTTAAAAATTCACAATTAAATTTATGTTTTCATTTATATAGAGATTTTATGCCGTCATGTTTTGAAATTATCACCTAGTCACTAGTTAACCAAAATAACCCTGAAAAGAAAATTAAATAAGAATTTTAAATTGTACATTCAGAATATTTTTAAATATTCTGATTAATAATTGTCAAGGTTTATACCCATATAAGAGGTAAAAGAGCATGGTTGAGTCAGATGCAGGTTTCAATTCTCTATCTGCCACTTAGGAACTCTGTGACATTACTTTAACCTCTGAGTTATCTCAAATTACCTAACTTCGGAGATTCATTTCCTTGTATGTAAAATGGTGATTTTTTTATAGTATGTGTATGTGTTTGTAAATGGGTTGTTGTGAGAATTAAATGACATATGCTTTTTGCACCATGTGAATCACAGGAAGTACTAAATAAATGGCATCTAATTAGCTATAACCATACTGTACACATTCATCTTCAAAAAAAAAAAACCAAACATATCACCATATCCTATTAGTCACTGGAATCAAATTCCAGAGGTCTACTAAATAAGACATGTCTCCTTCAGTCACTCAGACACCCACATGTCAATCCTAAAGGTCCATTAGGCCAATTGCATCTCTGTCACCGGAGCAAATAGTTGGAAAACATTAAGACGAGAACATGCCTAGAAAATAAGAAATCAGAAACACTACATATATTTAGGGGCTTTTTAAAAATTTCAACAAATTGTTTAACAGATTTTTTTTCTGATCCGGAATCTAGAAACATTATGGGAGTGATATGCCCGCCACACTTTCCTAGGGTGGTAAAGTGCCAACCGCTCCTTTGCTCAGATGCAAAAGAGAGATGTCTGCTGCCCGCTGGAGGCACGTGCAGGTGCCCAGCCCAGGCAGGATCCTGACGGGGCCCCCACCTCATTCTGCCCTGGAAGGGCCCCCAACATTCACAGTTCTGGGGAGGATCATCTGATTGTCTGAAGGCTGCTTAACACTATAGGGAAGTCTGTCATCCTCTATTTACTGACATTTTAAGAGAAACAAACAAACAGACAAAAAAACTACCTCGACTTACCCGGAAATAGTCGCTGCACGCTGCCAGGACGGCCTTGTGAGCAGGGAATTTCTGCTCCTCGGCAATCAGGGTGACGTCGCAGAGGATGCCGTCGCTTCTCTGCTGATTCAGCGCTGCCAGGACGCTATGGTTGTGAGATTCCGAGTGGCAGAGCCTCTGGCCTGTCAGCATTTCTTGAACACTGCAAGGAGAGCAATCAAGTCAGCACGCTCTCTCTCACAGGCTGGGCTGCCCCCAGGCACCCCACTCCTTAGGGGATGCAGACTCCAGGGCACTGCGGGGGAGCATGACCTGCACATCCCCCCGTCTTCTTTCTCCCCGTTTTATTTCTCTCCATTTTTCTCTTGCTCTCTTTTTCTCCGAGTTTTTCCTGTCCTCACCCGCCTCAGGTGTCTTTCTCTTTCCTACTGGGAATCCCTTGCCAGGTGTGTGTGTGTGTGTGTGTGTCACCTCATGTCTGGGGGCCTGTGAGCCTCTGCTCCTGGGCTTCTGTCCCCTCGGTGTGTGTACATCTTCAAGGACACGGCTTCTTCTGGACGTATATCTGGATGTGTGTATGTGTGTATGTGACTCACTCCACTCTGTGACCCCCTCCCAAACTCTCGGATTCCTTCTCTAGCTGCCTGCTACGTGGTTAGCACAAGCTCGGAACATGGTCACTGCCAGGCACTGACCCGGCACAGAATCCAGTGCACCTGCACGACTCACCAGAGATAGAGGAAGTTACGAATCTCTCACAGGACACAATACTCCACTGATAAATGAAACAAAACTGAGCAAACATTGGTTAGGGGAAAAAGGGCTGCTGGTGACCATTCCATGTACAAGGCAATTATAAACCAAAGCAGCGTTAATTATAAACTTGGGAGATTATGCACCAAAAGGACATCAAAAGAAATGTCTTTGAAGAACAGAAACTGAGGCTGAAAGTAACATATATCTCTAATACCAGCCTTCAATGTCTGTATGTGATCACTGTTCTAGCTTTATGAATGACTACACAATTTTGTTTCTGTTCTATCTTTTGAAAATTGCTAAATTTACCCATTGTGAAATGTACCCCTTCACTCCCCACCTCATCCTAAAATAGCCTATGTCCTTTCAGAACTTCAAGGCAAAAGCCTAAAATGATGTGAAAGTAATGCCATAAACACAAACGGAAAACTGCATTGGAATCAGATCTGTGAAAATCTCCGCAGTGGACCAAAATCTCTGAAGCGGCACTGGACTAAGGTGAGGAAGCTGCACCCATCAGAAATCCCTCCCAGAACGAGAACCAGAGCCGTCAAGCCCTGTTTCTGGCCGGTGGACCCTTCTCGAAGCTGAGTGAAGATACCATGGGGATGACTGAGCATCATCACTCCTTTCCTAACAACTCCTGCATCAGGTCCATCCCTGTGAGTGTCAAAGAGTCACTCGGGAGCCAGAGAGCCACCAGCAGCCTAGTCTGCACAGTTAATTTATTTGACAGGTCTCTGCCCAGCCCATGGTGCCAGCTGGCTACTAAACTGCAGGGCAGCACAAATGGCCACCTTTGAGCAGACCAAGTGCTTCCCATGAAATGCCAGAGTGCCACCAGGAAGCCTTCCTGGACATGTTTGACTGGGGAGCCTTAGAAATGTCAGAACTATTGAAAGAAAAAATTCATGACAGGAGGTGATGATATAGGAAGTTCTCGTGGGAAGGTGGGAGGATTATTTTCAGTTGAAATGCAGCAGTGAGTTTTGAAATGGTTACTGTCATCAAATATTCATCTAGTGGTTCTCGCTATAGGCAGACATTTAAAATCAGCAGTTGAAAACCACATTCAAAAGCATAAATAACTTTTTATTACAAATTCCCATGCAAAGCCTAGGATTAGCATTCCCAATAATAGAAATGAGGGAATAGTAATAGATATGTTGTATCAGCTAAGTAATGCTTTGGGATTGTTTTTGAAATATCTTTCTAAAAGGATGAAATTTTTATATATTTTACAAACAGCAAATCTCTTACTATGTTCCAGGAATTATTCTTAGTGATTTGTAATTATTAATTCACTTAGCTTCATAACAACCCTATAAGGCAGGCACTGTTATCATCTCTATTGTAATAGAAGAGAACAAAAGGTCCAAGATCAGGCATTGTGAGAACCTATCACCCAGGATACAATACAAGCATACCTTCCTTTACAGAATTTCACTTTATTGTACTTTGTAATATTTCATTTTACATAAACTGAGGCTCTGTGGCAACCCCTCACTGAGCAAGTCTATTGGCACCATTTTTTCCAACAGCATTTGCTCGTTTTGTGTCTTTGTGTCACATGTTCATAATCCTCACAATATTTCAAAATTTCTATTATTATTGTATTTGTTATGCTGATCTGTGACCAGCAATGATGACTCACTGAAAGCTCAGAGGATGGTTGGCATTTTTAAGCAATAAAGCATTTTTAAACTAAGGTGTGTACATTTCTTTTGATATAATGCTATTGTACACTTAATAGACTACCGTATATAGTATAAACATAACTTTTATATGCGCTGGGGACCATTTGACTCTCTTTATTGTGATATTCATTTTATGTAAGTGGTCTGGGACCATACCCGCAATACCTCCAAAGTATGACTGCAGTGTAATTCATCATCCTGTTTAAAAAACAAAACAGAGAAGGCGAAACAAAACCCAAAAGAATGCTAATTTGTAAAGAAACATCTCAAAAACCTATGACTATAAAGAGGAAAAAAATCACAAAGTACATGTTAGTCTTATATTTATATTACAGTCATCTCAAAATCAAAGTTGTATTTTAAAAATAATATACATGAACATAACATGAGACAGCAATAAGAAATGTTTGCTATCATGATTCAAAAACATTTATCCCTGCACTGTAACTAAGAGAAGTTTGGGGATAGAAAATAGATTTTAATTTTCATAACCTTAGAAAATGTATTTGAAATGCTCATAAATGTTCTCCCTTTTAATATCACCTTAAATGCTAAGTAAATGTATTTCAAAATTTCATTTGTAGTGGAACAGAAGAATATATTAAAATAATTGCCTTAAAATGTTTCCTTACTCATTTTCCAAATATAGTGTGACAATTCAAGTCCTTATTGTTAAGACTGAATCAGTATTTGCATTTCAGATCTCTATTGACAGCGAATAAATCTTGCCAGAGAAAGAGCAGCTGTAAACTGAAATGTGGCGAATAATAAAGGGCTCAGCTCAGAAACAATTGTGATGCTGCACAATTTCACAGGATCATTCAGCTGGGCTTGAAATATTCAAGCTTAAAGAAAACAACATGCTAAATATTTAAGGCAACACTTGGCACAGGATTCCAAATATTTTGGAGCCAATATGTTCGGAGTCTTTAAAAGCACAAACAAATACTACAACATTTGGCAAGAAATAAAGGCCTATTAATCAACAAATCTTCATTATACTCTGAAAGTAACTTGTCACTCAAGTCTCAGAAGTAAATCTGCAAAAGATCTCGACTGTGGCCACAGAACACAGCTGGAAGGTGGTAGGCCCTTTTGATGAGTTACTAATCATAAACAAGGAAAGAGGTGAATCAGAGACTACAATGCACCATGTCTAACTAAGATGGGGAGCAGATACATGCTCCCACAGGCTCCCTTGGCATCTATAACTTATACCAAATTAACACACTAAACTTCTCAACTTTGAGCAATGTCTCTCCATTATTCGGGAAATAAAGAAGGAAGGAAAAGCATATTCCTAAAACTTTCTAATTTACTGAAAATACAACATAGAGGCACATTTCCCAATGGCATACAGACTTCACATCATCCTGAAGTTGGGAAAGGTCTTCTATGCAAGCAATGTTGCCATTTTATAAATCTCAGGTGAGCACAGAGGGTGACCTGGCTTCCCCAATAGTCTTTCCTCTGAGTGAACCCCCAAAATTGCACCATCTGAAACAATAGCCACTAATCACACGGGGCTACCAATCACGTGAAATGTGGTTATGCAAACTGAGATGTGTTGTGAGTGTGAAATGCACCCTCAATGTCAAGCATAGTATGAAAAAAAAAAAGCAAAATATCTCAAATTTTTATGATTACATGTTGAAATGATAATATTCAGGGTACATTAGGTTAAATAAACTATATAGTTTAAAATCATTTTGCCTTTTTCTTTTTACTTTTTCAAAAATGTCATTATTTGAAAATGTTTAATTATATATGTTTTGCATTATGGTTCTATTGCACGATGTACAAGTTTCCAGAAGAACATGTCCCTCATTTCTTTCCACTTAAATTCTATAAAGGCTTCACGGTAACCTGTCAGGCTGTTCCTGTATCTCTTAGAGCCCAGCCTCTGTTGGGCACAACATGTGAAGCCCTAGTCTCCCCAAGCAGCAGATTGCTTTTCACTGATGCCAGGGATCAACCATTTGATTGGCCATATGTCAGCATCCAGTAATAGGGGAAAAAATAATGAAGTCTCAGGGAACAGGACTATTCATGACTTTAGGTCTTTAACTTTCATTCTGGAATTGATGACAAACACTAAAAAACCAAATGCAGAACACGATGTTCATAACACGGCAAGCCCTACTCACAGCAAAGCATTGCTTTAGTGCAAATCACTACTTCAGATTCATGTTAGTATATTTGATCACAGAAATCTTACAGGGTCTCATTTTCATAGAACAGACTTTGCCTGAGTTCAGTCAGTTTTTCACAGGTCAATTCCAAAACAGCTGTCTGGTTTTTAAACATCTGCATTTCAAATTTTAAAATTCAAGTCAACTTCTGTATCAATGTTTACTTAGTATTGAGATATACAAAAAATTTGCAAGTGGTTTTCAAGTAAAGCCACCGATAAGGTATTATACTCTTCTACATGAAACGCAGCAAGTAGCAGAAAGAGCCTCATTTCTTAGTTAGGCTATAAAGAAAAAGATTGGACAAACACCTGGTAGTATTAGAATTATTCATGATTATCTCAATTCAATCTGCTGATGAACTGTCCAATGAGGAACCTCATCACTTCAATTCCACAGTCAAAAATTTCTATACAAAATACGTTAATACTAAAACCACTTTATTTATTTAAGTGGGTAAGCTGTTACCAGAACTCGTCATGGAACTTAAATATTTTTTATAGAACACTTATAATTTGTAAAAACCTTAAAATGAATGCTAACCTTTAATAACAATGGTCTAACAATCCATAGAAAAATAATAAGCAAAGAAGACACAATATGCTTAGAGATCAAGAAATGAAGAAGATGATGAAGGAAGGAACTTGGTTATAAAGGAGTAGTCCTATTTCATTCCTCCCTTCATTCATTCACTCAACAAACATTTATTCACTCTGTACTAGGTATGGGAGATAAAATGGTCAACAAACCAAGCTTGGTAGCAGCCCCTGGGGAACACTCGGTTTAGCAAGGCAGTCATACATCAATGGAGGGATCTAAGGTCCCTGGAGAAGTACTGCTGGAGCTGAGGGGTGAAGGATGAGAACAAGGTGGTGTGGCAAACGAAGGAGAGGAATTTTCCAGGCAGGGGGAGCGCTGGGGCTATGATCCTGTGGCAGGAGGAAGCCCGCCCTTCCACAGAATGTCAATGGCTGGAGCACTGGGGACAAGGAAGCTTCTGGTGCAGGATCTGGAGCTCAGAAAGAGGTCGTGGCTAGAGGTGAGATCTGGGTCACCCCTGCACAGAGAGCGTTGCAAGCACAGCTGTGTCTCCGGAACACAGCTGAGAGGCAATCAACAGTCAGAGGTTACTGAGGAGATAAGAAAGATAGGATTCAAAACACGGAAGCAAGGCCGGGCTCAGCGGAGGGAAAGGACCATCTTTTGAGCAGCAGGAGGGAGGGGATAAATGGACCAGAATCATTTAAAACTCTGAGCCATTTCTGGGGTTTGTGGAATCTAAATATTTAGTGGAACCAATCTCCACTGGATGATGTAGGCATGAGAACATGGATACTTGGGTTCATCTGGGTTGAGATTCGAGCATCAAATATTCAGGGAGCCAGAAAAATTAAGGATTTAAAAGTGTGATAGAATCTAAACTGCATAAGAAGAGAAATGAAGGAAAGAAAGGGTGGATGGGTTAGTAGAAAGTAGCAGGGCGACGAGATGAGTAGGCAGTGAGGTCAAAGTACAATCACAGGAGTAGGCAAATGAGCAGACAAGAAGGGCAAGAGGTCCTGGGACAAGTAAAGTGGCTGATTCCAGAAGAGAGCAACTACTAGGGACGCAAGGTCCACGCAGGAGCAGGACAGTGGGTGGCCCAGGGGAGGGAGAAGGTCTTAGGCAACAAGCAGGTTGAAGATCCGAGGCTACGAAATGGGACCCAGGGTCTGTGATAAGGAATAAGACTGCAGGCCAGGGGCCAAACGCTCAGTGAATGGGGAGAAAGGACACTCACATCCGTGGTGAGGAGGAGAGGGGAGAGAGGGGAAGGGCACCCCTTGCAGAAGAGCATGTGTTGGTCGTAGCTTTCTCAAACAACCGGTTTGAGGAGTGATGATCTAAAGCAAAACTATGCCCCAGAGTGCAACGATCTCTTTACCCATCCCTAACCTAGCAGAGAAGTGAGGAAATAAGGCCACCAGTTGACAGGGCTATGACAGAAGTGGTGCCTGAGGGGCGGACAGGTCCTAGTGAGGTCAGGACGTGGACACAGCCGTTCAGGTGAGGGACGTGCTACGGCAGCGCATGTGGTGTGGGCGCAGGAGTTCCACAGGGCACAGGGGAGGTGGGAGAGATGGGGGAGCGAGGTCTCTGAGTCACAGCAAAGAAGGAAAGGCCATTACAGAGACGATGGTGCTGTGGAGGGACAGATGGCAGTGGGATCAGAGTGGATCAGTAAAAGCAGAGATGGTAAATTCAAAGGAAAAAAATCACTTTGAGATGAAGGCACAGAGTTCCTGGTAGCCAGAAATAAATTACTTGGCTGAGGTGTTGGCAGACAGATACCATGATCTCTATGTGCTATACTGGCCGGATGCCATATCTAAAGCAGGATTTTCGACCTCAGTGAAATTAACTTTCTGGGCTAGATTGTTTTCTGTGGTGGGGAGTTGTCCTATGACAACTCTTAAGATGTGTAGCAGGATCCCTGGCCTGTCCTCCCTACATGCCAAGTGCACCCCACTGCTGTGACAACCAGAAATGTTGCCAGATAGTGCACAGTATACCCCATGGGTGAAATACACCCCTCTGAGAACCACTGACCCACAGCAGCACCCACTCCGGGAGCGCAGAGGCAGTCTATCAGCTGTCCCAGTGCCTCAGCTTCTGAACACGTTTCTGGAACATGTCATCTCTATTAGCTTCGGAGTTGTGGCAGAAAGCTGGTCTCTTCATTTCTGAGACATACCCAATTCTTAATTATTTAAAAAGAAGCTATTTCTCAGGTTTATCATCTCTTTTACTCTTTGCTCTGGAGGCCCTCGGACTGTTTCCTTGAAGGAGAATGAAGACTAGGTTCCTCTGAGAACATCCCCAAACCCCTGCCTTTTCTGCTTGACTGCCCCCTCCGTTTGGGGAATGTGCCAAGCTCCCCCCTGCCCTAGGGCACCTCCCCACGTCATCCTGCCTTTCAGGGCTCACATCACAGAAGGCTTCTTCAGGAGGGCGCTTCCTCACTCTTTCCATCCCGTACTTTTCCTTCAAAGCACTTTTCACACCTGCACGTGCATTGCTGGTGCGTTGTTACTGCCTCAATGCTTGTTTCCCCCTAGAATATACATTTTATGAGGGAAGAACCCTGATGTGTGTTTTATTCACTGTTGGATCCTCTGCACCAAGTAGAGTGTTTGGCTCAATAAGTATTTGTTTTGTTTATAAAATGAATGATCGAAAGAAAATACTAGGAGTATTTTGAGAATATGTATCACATTCCCCGAGTAATTGCTTTAAAGGGGATGATAATCATGTAGATGTATAGTTTTCTGGTTCATTATTTAATCATATACCTTTATAGCAGCACATCTTGGGTTTGAGGGAAATGAGCACCCTAAACAAGAGAAAGATAAAAAGTAGTATCATTCCAAGAATCCCGACACATACCCACGTCTGGCCAGTAAATAGACGACAGCAGTTAGCCCTGGTGCTACTTTCCTGAACTCATGCATCCTATGCCTGGTTCGCTTAATTCCTTCAAGTATGTGTTGAGCCCTGCTCCGCACTCAGTCCTGGAATGTGCAGTGTGACTACTTGAGGGCTCATGACGACAAGCAAGGACATATCCCAGAGGGCCAACCTGAGGCAGCGTTCCGACGGCATTCTCCAGCGGGCTCCCTCGGGGTCTCAGCCTTAGAAGTCTGCAGAGGAATCGGCAAGCATCCCAGCTGAATAAGAAGGCAAGAAAGAACACAGTGAGCTCAGTGCGAAAAAAAAAGCACATTCTGTCCCTTCCTAATGCTAATGTTTTAGAAGCACAAGGAGGCATCTTGAAAGTTCTGTAGTCAAGACAGACCATTCTGACTGAATGCTTTCTGATAAGCAATGGTTCAAAATGTTCTTAGGTTTTTTTCACCTTACTGAAACTTTAAGGACTCAGAAGTAAAATGTGCTTGAGAACCAACAATAGCTAAAGTAAGAGTTGCAGTAAATATTAAAACATCAGATGGCCAAAGGGAAATATTAAGATTTGATAAAATAAAGCTAGAAAGGCCTAAATCACAAATACTAACTGACCTGTCCTTTATAGCAATTTTATTTTCCTCCAAAACATGAGTATTAGTGAAATAAAGTTAAAATCAAGTATGCCTTTGCTCAATGTCTACAGAAAGATTATTTTCTATTCAAGGAGCAGATTTCTGAAAACTAGGTAAAAAAAAGAAAAACATATAAAGAGGATGAAAGTTAGCAGAAAATGGAAAATATTCTTTCAGGAGGTTTAGGATTAGAAATTGTCAGGTTTGAAATTGCTCCTTGACTAGGTACTCATTTAACCCCACATGCTACCTCTCATCCCTGTTCCCAGCCTTTGTTTTCAATCACTGATGTAACTCTAAACAGAAAAGTAAAGTATTTGAATGGACTGGGATGTGGTCCATGACTATGTGACTCCCATTAGAGGGTCTACTTCCCATTTTCTAATACACTTAAGTGGCAAAATTCATTCCAATTTGCATAATCTTACACAGGCTCCCTTCTGTCATAATTTTATTTTGAAAAATGCTAACAGGGTGAAAACAATTATGAAATGAATACGCTAAGCTGCACCTAGTTCTGCTGATTTACATAGAAGAGAGAGGTATGATTTCCAATATAACTATGGTATTTGTTGTATTGCACACAAACCCTCAGTTGGTATGGCTTAGCAATTCATGTAGACATAATTTGCTTTAGTATTCCATTGTTATTGAACATCAGGCTGTTTTGAACATTTTTCATGTACATATTCTTTGTTTCCTTTTTTAATTATTGAACATAAGAGGCCTATACTTTTCTTTATTTCTCATTAAGTTTTGACAAACCTAAAAATGGGCACCATTTTCAACTGATCGATTATGACTGAGCAGGACAGAGGCTGAGAATAACTCAAGGCACACTGATTAGCTAAGAGACTTTCTTAGCAACCTATCACTGTTAAACAGTTTCCTTTCAGAATCTAGGTTATAAACTCCAGGTTCTTATAGCCTAAAACTAACACTAACAGAGGTTTTTTTTATAACATTATAGCTAATATAAAATGGCACCATGTGCACACATCGACTCACTGTCATGTTACTACGGGCTGGTTACTTACCATTTTTAAATCTTAATTTTTGCATTTCTAAAAATACAGATAAAAGCACCTTGCCACAGGGCTATATACTGCATGGAATATGCCTTGCTCAAAAACTGATTTACCACAGGGTCTCAGTAAACATCAATGTGTCTCCATTTACTACACACACAAATATGACTTGGGCAGTGATTTGCTCAAATGACATGTAGGTAAATTTTTACTTTTGTTTCACTTTTTGCTAATGTAGTTGATATGCTAAGTGCTATTTTTTTAATGCCAAAAAAGTATTGCAGCAATCCTCCCACGACTGTTCTCAGGACCACTCTGCAGCTTGGATAGATGATTCAGGCCCCCACCCCAATTCTGCAGCAGAAGCTGCCTTCACTCTGGGAAACGCAGCAAATATTTCTCAAAACTACAGCAATTCTTTCACAGAATCAGAATTATTCATTGACCTCACCCTTAGGAAATGTCCATTTCACCTGTGAAAGAGTGGAATCTCCTCTCTTACTGGTGAGTTTCTTTTAAAATATAATCTGCTTGATACATCCGATGAATGGGGCTTAACCTTTATAGTTCTTATTTTCATTAAAATGTTTCAAGGTTGCCAGAGTTTCACTTAGGCAGATATTTTGGAAGTGAATATAGAAAATCAAGTATTTTCAGAGAAAAAAGATGTCATTAAACCATAATATTGTGAAAGGGAAAGGAAAAAAAAGGTTTTGTAGGTCTGAGTTCATTGCATGCAAAGAAAGGAAGACTAGAAAACTTATCTGGGTTAATATGATCAACAAACCTAAGTCACTAAAAATATTAAGCTACCTTAATTATTGGATGTACTCCAATCCTACCAATATGTAAGAAACTGGTTTATTCTTGCTATCATCATATATTTGCTTAATAATCTTTTAGTATTATATTCCTTTCAAATATACTTTTTAAAATATTAGTTGTTCCTGATCTCAGCAATTTATAGTAATTGAAGGGAACTATCACCAGATTTTAAGCAGGTAGAAGTAAAATGCAAGAGATATAGAGGTGGTTTACAGGAAGAAAACCTAGAAATTAAAAAAAAACATGAATTATAGGTAGAAGTCCTGATCATGAAAAACTAGTTATAGTAGATGTTTCTTCAGTATACTCAAGAGTTTGTGATCCCTATAAAAAATTACATCAAATTAATACATCTTGAAAGGTAAAGTTGCTTCTAAGCATAAAATTATTAGGACACATGCAATGGTCCCAATCATGTATGTATTATACATGGTAATAATTTATCTTTAATTCTGATTGTTTCATATATTGGTATTTCTTAACACTGGAGTACTAAGACATTTTTAACACCAGCACATCATCATGTGATGTCTGATAAGTGATATTAGATATCCCCTTAGTCTGAAAAGCCCAACATTCCAGGGTACCCCACGGGCATGCTTTCCTGGACGGAATATTCATTTTTGAAGACTGGCAAGGATGCTTGCCTTTTCAGAGAGTGATGACATCTAAGCTCTCCCTCCAAATAACAAAGAAGTGAGGTGATCCAACTCGAAAAGGAAAGGTCCAAGCCCAATGTGACATTAAGGCACAGTTTACTACCTGAATAGATATGTAGGCCAAAAGAACTAAATCGCCCTATTCTTACAAATCCCTACCACCATTTTAAAATATAATACAAAAGACTTAATCATTCAGAACATATTCTTGAGATCATAACCTTAAAGCTTTTCTATTAAACACTGCTATTATAAGTTTTGATTAAAAATGATTTGAAATAACCACTTCACCTACTACCATCAGCCAAATGCTTTTTTTGACTGCTATTATACAAAGAAATACTTTACATGCATGATCTCATTTAATTCTCACAATAAGCTGATGTGGGAGATACTATTTTCATTTTATTGATAAGAAACCTGGGGATAATTCACCAAGAGTCACAGGACTAGGAATTGGTAGTGTTAGGGATCAAAACCTCGTCTGCTTGACTCCAAAGCTTATAGCTTATGTTCTTAATTATTCTGCTATAATCCCAAATTTTATTTAAAGAAATCATAAGTCTTAATAATAAATAAAAAACTACTACTTTAAAAAATACCTAAAATCATTATAGATATCAAAATTACAGAAGAAATACAGTAAGTTCTTAATAATATAAGATATAGATATGTATATAATGTTAATACTGTTTCTTATAATCCTATGAAAGAGGGAAAAAATATCAAGGAGCAAAAAGTTAAATATCTTTTTGCAGATGGATCTCACCAAAGGTCACCAGGACATACAACCAGTGTAAATCGGTCCAACACAATAATGCCAGATAATTAGATATTTATAATAGGAGAAAGCAAACTCTTTAAATTATGGAACATACCAAATCATCAATTATTCTGAATAATTGATGAATAACCACACCTCTTAAGGTTAGGAAAGGAGCACCAATATCCACGAAATCTATGAAAGCTCATGCAGCCGAGCCGCAAGGTCTCCTATACTAGGAGTCTGTTTAACATTTTACACATTTTAAGCATCTAATATAGCGCTTGGTACACAGTGGAGCACAATAAACATGAGTCCGACTCTCCCCACTTCCTGGATGGACATATAGAGGGCACACTCTGCAAAAGCGGAGGTAGGCGCACAGCTGGGAGAGAAATTAACGTGTGGGGTGACCGTCGGCCTCCGGTAGGATCTGGCCAGATGACACGAAGAGGGCTCAGGAGGCGTTCCCATATGTCATTAAAAGAGCAAGCATAGGAATGGAGGGAGTGTAGCTTAACAGTCATATGAGATTAAAAACTCTAGGAGTTTTTATGACTAAATAACGGTGAAAAGGGCATGAACTGTAATACAGTGCATTAACATTGTCAGTATATGAAGCATTTATACATCAATGAGAAAAAGATGAATATCTCTACAGGAAACAATGGACAAAGAGCATAAACAGGCACGTCTCCAAAGTAGAGATATACAGGAACAGGAAACATAAAAACTATTACTCTGCTTAGTAATAAAATGCAAATAAATCAACAACAGGATACCATTTCCTTCCACCCACACTGGCAAAGAATGATGATGGCCGGCGGGAGCAAGGAAAATGACCCCTTACAGAGGCAGGCAGGTGTTTAAATTGGCACAGTGATTCCAGAAGGCATTCTGTGAATATGAATTAAAATGCCTTAAAATGGGCAAACTCTTCTACGTAGAAATTCCACATCTAAAAATCCACCTATGGAAAAAGTCAGTTAAGTGGGTAAAGGTGTATGTAAAAGGGGGTTCACCGGAGTTTGTTTATATGAGCAAAAAATACAAGCAATCTATAGGTTAGTTAAATGGTGAATATATCCTTCTATGAGAACCAAATAGGAATGTAAGATGCTGATAAAGATATATGCTTGTTAACATGAAAAAAATACATGTTTTAAGAGGAAAACAAGTAATATATCAATACATATCCTATTATGTAAAACTACTTCTGTAAGAATATATATTTTAGATGTTAATAATGGCTTTCACTATGAAAGTGTTTTTTAAACTTTGGTTATCTGTATTTTCAAATGTTTCTACAATAAACATTGTACTTTACATGTGTATATTAAAAACAAGGGTAAATAG